GATGCAAAGCGACGTAGACCTGATGAACCATTCTTACATATTCAATCTCCCAACACGCATTTGCTCTCACTCACCACCTTGGCTACACACTCACCACATAACACACAAACATGCTTGTATAAGAGATATGTCTTCCTCACGCAAATAGCAGCAACACAAGTGAGCAGTCAGACATGTCCCGATAACATAATCAATATGTCGATCGATAACTTGCTAGTACAAAACATACAAGAAAAGAAAAAACGCCGCCGCTGATGCTCATCATGCTAAAGATGCTGCGGGGAGGTATATATAAAAAAGACAAGATTTATAACAAAAAAAAAGAAAGAAAGGGAGAAAGAAGGAAAGAACCCAGTCTGGTACCAAAAGTGCATTCTCCCAGAATATCCGAGGGCACAACGAAACAAAATCCTAAACTTTTTCTTGTCTGTTCGATGCTTCTTGTTCTTGTTCATCTCTTTCTTCTTCTTCTTCTTCGTCCTCATCATCATAGTAATCATCTCTCTTTCCCAAACCAAGTAAGTGTCTTTCTTACCTGTGTTTGACCATCTTCCCATAATACATGTCAACAACAGACCCCTGACTGGCATCCACACATATACACACATACTCATAGCTTTTCCTTCATTAAAAGGCCATTAGTGGCACAGCATTGAGTACACGGGCCATCTCATTGGGGGCCATCTGAGCACTCTGCAGACTACGCACTTGGCTGCCCTTGCGGAGACGCTGCAGACCAAGCGCCAGTTTCCAGCTCTCACTGTCGTCAATGAGGAAGACGTATTTTTTGCCGTCGGCATCGCGGACAGAGGCTCGGAGAATATGCAGGTTCTTGGCGGGTTGCTTGCCAGTCTGACACACAAATACATGTTAGCATCGCCATCTCAAGCTGTAATACTACAGAACAAAAAGCCGACTTACCTCTACCATTTTCAGCGTCCAAGCCTTGACATCCCACTCACGTTGTGGAATGCCTCGCACATCATCATCGATGAACAAACCCTCGGATTGAATCTTCAGAATGAGCCCGTCGGTTACCTTTCCTACATTGGCTACGAGTTGAGCAACGGGCTTTGGAAACAAGTCATTGAAGAGATAGACAGCCTTGATGACAATCTTGTTAGGGTCGGCTGTCGCGTATGGTCCGCTTTTTGAAGCTGGTGGTGTTGTGCGTGCAGTCGACTCTGAAGGTGCGTAGGAAGACTCGGAGTATTGGGAAGAGACGTGTGAGCGAGTAGCAGTAGACCGAGGCGGGACAAAGGACTTTCCGTCTTCGCTGCTGAGGTAGGACTTTGCACTGGGTTTCTCGTAAGATTTCTTAGATGTGACGGTGGCCTTGATAGGAGACGATTGACTGGAGGCGACAGAAGCAGGAGCTGGCATCCTCACGCCTGCATAGGGGTCAAGTCGTTCGCCGCCGCCAACGCCACCATAAGTAGTAGATCTGCGGGTTGATGTGATCTCTGGGGCCGCGGCGGCAGCGGCGGCAGCGGCGGCAGCAGCAGCAGCCTCAGCGGCAGCAGCCTCTTCAGCTTTGATTCTCTCTGCTTCGGCTTTGATCCTCTCTGCCTCAGCTTTAAGCTGCTCAGCTTGTAGCTTCTCAGCCTTGATCTTCTCGGCTTTGATCCTTTCTGCTTCAGCCTTGACCTTCTCTGCTTCGGCCTTGAGACGAGCCTCTCGGTCCCTTTGAGCTCGTTCACGTGCTGCTTTGAGACGCTCTGCTCGCTCAGCATCTGCCTTCGCTTTGGCAGCAGCGAGTTCTGCTTCAAGCTTCGCTTTTGCTTCGGCAGCTTCGGCAGCAGCCTTGTCAGCAGCGGCCTTCTTCGCAGCCTCTTCTTCGGCCTTGGCTCTCTGTTCGGCTTCGAGCTTTTCGCGAATCTCCTTTTCGATTTGAGCTCGTGCTTCTGCTTCGCGTGCCTCGCGCTCTGCTTTCTCCTTCTCCAAGGCCTCTTGTTGCTTGCGAGCTTTCTCCTTGGCCAGGCGTTCTCGTGCTTCACGTTCACGCTGCTCTCGCTCACGTTTGCGCATCTGCTCCCACTTCTCCTTTTCAGCTTTGGCACGCGCAAGTTTAGCTGCTTCTTCCTTGGCCTTTTGCTCTGCCTCCTTCTTCTGCCTTGCTTCTTCAGCGCGCTTAAGCTCCTCCCACGCTCGCCGACGGTCTTCTTCCTCCTTCTTCTTCTTGGCTGCCTCAGCAGCTAGTCTAGCTTCTTCAGCCCGGCGGCGCTCTTCCTCAGCTTTGCGTTCTTCCTCTGCTATGCGCTGTCGTTCGGCTTCCTCTTGCCTCTTCCTCTCCTCTTCGGCAAGCCTCTGCTGTTCGGCCTCGCGCCTCCTTCTCTCTTCCTCTGCTTTCTTCTTCTCCTCGGCCTCGCGCTTCAGTCTGGCTTCTTCCTTGAGCCTGGCCTCCTCCTTCAACCTGGCTTCTTCTTTCAACCTAGCCTGCTCCTTGATCCTGGCCTCCTCCTTGAGTCTGGCCTCCTCTTTGAGTCTAGCCTCCTCCCTGAGTTTGGCTTCTTCTTTGAGTCGAGCTTCTTCCTTGAGTCGAGCTTCCTCCTTAAGTCGAGCTTCTTCCTTTAGCCGAGCCTCCTCCTTGAGGCGAGCCTCTTCCTTCAGCCTAGCTTCCTCTTTGAGTCTGGCTACCTCCTTCAATCTGGCCTCCTCGGCTTGCCTTTTGGCCTCTTCTGCTTGTCGCTTGATCTCTTCGGCTTGTCTTCTGGCCTCCTCTGCTTGTCTTCTAGCCTCTTCAGCTTGGCGCTTGAACTCCTCAGCACGCTTACGCTCCTCTTCTTGTGCCTTTGCTATTTTTGCTTTCTCGGCGCGCTCACGCTCGATTTCCTCGACACGTTTACGTTCGGCTTCCTCTTCTTGTTTTCTCTTGGCTTCTTCTTCTTGTTTTCTCTTGGCTTCTTCAGCTTGCTTGCGCTCCTCTTCCTGTTTCGCCTTCTTCTCCTTCTCTTCGGCACGCTTCTGCTTTTCTTCGGCGCGCTTCCGCTCTTCTTCAGCCCGCTCAGCCTCTTCGTCCGAGGAAGGCCCGTCGTCTTGTGGAGGGGGTGACGATGCAGAGCCGTATTGACGGTATCCGCCCCATCCGCCATGAGGTGGGGGACTGCCTGGGAAGCCACCGTTTTGAGGCGGTGGTGGGGGTGCTCGCTGGTAGCTAGAGCTGCTTCCATTGTTACCAGCACCAGCACCTGAGCCAGCACCGGGTCCGCCGCGTGGCCCATTGCCATATGCCGCGCCGCCTCCGCCATTGAATCGGCGTCCGGCCTGTGTCTGGCCGAAAGCCCAGCCTGCAAGGAGCATGAGGACGGCTAGCAGAATGACACCATTGCCGCCAGTTGTGACTCCATGCCTGACGATGAGGAAGTATTGTTTGACGTGTGGCTCGGCAGCTTTCCAAAGGACTATACTGGCTATGGTGCTGAGTACACCAGCTATGAAGCTGTTCTGTTGCACACCCAGGCTGGGCAGGTATATGAAGCCACCCCCTGAGGAATGTGGAGGGATGATGAAGATGTCATAGTTGCCCGGAGGGAGACCGCCGGTAGGAGGGGGTTCGGGAGGAGCATGGCTGCCTCCAGTTGTCTTTGGATTGGCACCATGTGGAGGTGGGGGAGGTGGAGGGCCGTCGTCCATGACTATGTACGCCCTCTAGGGCGGGTGGGTACGGGGGATCAGGGCAATGGTTCGTTGGGAATGTCGTGTGCTGCAACAGGTACAATCAGTTGCAAAGGAGCTGGGCGGTGGGAAGAAACAAAGCAGTGGGAAATTTCATGAGCGGAGCTGACTCGGAGCGATGGGAGGGAGTTGGAGCGGTGTGAGTGGGTGGGGTAACAATAGTGTTTATTGGATTATTCTTGAAGTCTCCCTCCCTCTGCGCAGACACACACTCGGGGGTCTCGCTCTCTCGAGGAGCAGAGAGGGACTGAGTGTGGTGAGAGGGAAGAGGAGCTGCAAGGTGTCCTCGCTGAGGGCTAGCACCATTGCTTTCTCCCAGAGCTGACTGCTCGGTTGTTTTTGGGTTTGTTTACGCCAAGCACCCGGAACGGCTAGCGCTGGCGGGCCGCTGGCGCCGCATGGCGACGACGCTACACAGGACACACTCTCCTATAGTCTGTTGGCCTGTGGGATGCGATTGCAAACCAGATTGTCTCTTGTCTGAACAGGTTTTTTTTCTTCTGCCTGCCGGCCCCGACCTTTTAAATGTCGTCGGGTCGGCTGGAAAGAATACAGGTGGCTGGCAGACAACACGTCACGCGTGGTAGAAGCTCAGTTGGCGGGCCAGCAGGGCCGAGCGGTGAAAGCAGCTTCGGCCAAAGGAGGCGGAACACGTCGGGTGTGCATCCTTATGTCAGCCTGGGCCAAGGGCATGTACTCTTGCAACATGGGTATTTGGTGTTTTTGTTTGGTGGCATCCGGCATGAAGCTTATGTGGTTTGGGGATAGGACCAGGCTGTTGTCAATAGGTACCTCGAGCGTCAGGACCCGTATTACTTCCTCATCTTCGTGGCTCTTTACCCAACAATGACCTGTTCTGGGTCGTCCTGGGACACGTATATATATATATACCTACATATATATCTCGGAGTTGTGAGAGATTTGCTTTTAATTCATTTCTTCAGCAGAGAGGCTTTCTGCCCTCGAGGATTTCTCGCAAGCATGGTGAGTGTGTACGCTAACTAAGAATAGGGCAGGGTGTGAAAGGTCCATCTACCCGGTAATGGTCTAAAACGATGCCTACTCTAGACTACCCGGACGTCTACCGGCAATGGCTACCGACGCTCCCTGAATCTGTCCCTGATTAGGACAGCATAAAACCTGAACAGGAATGTCATCTGGGTCATATATGGCAGGGGTATGCCGACGTCAGGGTAAGTGTGCAGTGAGCGAGCTACAGCTGTGCCATGATTTGACAGTTTCAAGGTCGGTTGCCGCTTTGCTCAGTCAGCAAAGAGAGCCTGAGGCCCGAGGGCAGCCTTGCAGTCTTGCAAGTCAAGGTGGTGATGGTGGAGGGTGGCAGGACTGCCCTTGAGCTTGGCTTCAAGTGGTTAGCGCCGTCTGTCTGTCTGTCTGTTGCCAGCACCACACCAGTGTTTACAGTAGAGATTGACATGCACACTCCCACGCCCTCGTGGACAGCAACGAGATTGAGTCGACGCTAGGAGCATCACGTGCATATCAGCAAAGACGATATTTTGGGTGGGGGGCCAGCCAGGTGGTGTGGGCAGCGAATCACAGCCGGGGGAGCGAAACACGCCTGGCACGCGTCAGTGTGCGATTCGACCATGCCAACAGCATCGTGTCACTGCGGGGTCGAGAGGTGGGTGAGCAGCACGCAGTCGATATGGTGGGCGATTGTGGCAGCCGACGGTGCCGCATGGAGGCGTCTGCGTGCTCTCTGCAACGCGTGGACATGGCAGCAGCAGCAGATTGCACGGTCACCTGCCCCGCTGATTTTCGCCCATGGCAAACGGGTGCCGAAGATGGTCCGACTGGAGGGTCGGGGATGGAGGGGATGGGCATGGAGGGGCATGGAGATGGTGGTTTTGGTGGTGAGGGCGTGGGTGACAATGGCCCCAAGCTCACGGCATTCTCTTCTCTTCTTCAGCCCTGCGCAGGGTGGGCCCACCCTCTCCACCACGTCATTGCTTCACCATCACGCCAGCCGCCTCCCCCCTCCCCCCCAACAACGATGCGAGCCAGATTCGTCCGACGCCGGGACGAGTCGGGATGCCATGGTTGCCGTGCGGTGCGCCAGGCCTACTGATCCGCATGCAGGTACAGGGAGTGGCATTGTGTGCAGTCGTGGACAAATCAGCTGGCAGCGGCAGCGTGCAAGCGGAGGCATGATTGGGCTACAGGCGACGAGCAGCGTTGGGTGGGCAAGGCCGAAAAACAAAGAGGCCTAATAAAAGAGCAGGGCGCATGGGCTCGTCGACGGCTTTGAGACACGGCTTAAGCCCAGTGCAGACAAGACGCACCGCTGCTGCGACAGACTTTTCCACCCGACGCCCACACGATGCGGAAAATGGCGGTGAAAAGCGGGCACTAGCGCCGGCCGACTCGAGCACACGCACGACGTGACCAAGTACTAAAGCTCGGCCTGCGGCACATCGCGCCCACCTGTCCGCGTCCGACAAGACTGTAGAGGGTGACTGTTGGGTACGGCCATCGCACACAGCAGGAACCCTCAGACGACAACGACGACTGACGCAAAGGCCCAGCTCCGATTGTCAATTGCCAATTGCCCTTCCGCCCTCCGCCATTGACTCCTCTCCCACGGACAAGCTTCTCCCTCCCGCAGCCATGTGGAGAACCGGCCTGCTCTACCTCGACCGCGGGGACAGCTCCATCCTCAACGCCCTCCGCAACGCCGGCTACGACACCCAGAACCAGCCCACCTCGCCCTCGCGCACCCCCCGCCGCTTTTCCATGGCTAGCGACACGGAGAGCGCCCTCGAGGGCAAGCTCAAGCATGACATCAAGGCCCAGCAGGGCGTCCAGCACTGGGTCATGCCTTCGGATGTCAACGGCCTCAAGTTTGCCAGCCCCCGCGCCAGCCCCCGCACCAGGGCCATTGACCCCGCCGACGCTCTCGGCCTGGCCACCGACGCTACCCTGTTCGAAGAGCCTGTCCTCTATTCGCTGGATCGAATAAAGGAAGACAACCACCACCCCGACTACTTTGCCTACGACCAACTGCAAAAGTCGCCTTCGCTCAAGGACGACTGCGACGAGCCTGTCCACGTGCACAAGCGCCGCCCTTCGCACCTCCGCACCCCCTCCACCCCCACCATCGAGTCGCGCCTTGCCAGTGCCCAAAAAGCCTCGCGCTCCCTACCCCTCCGTGCAAAGACAAACGAGGGTCTCCTACAACTGCAGGCAAACACATCCAAGCCCCAGCGCTCCGCAAATACACACCAGCGCAGAATATCGCTCGGCCTCCCCATCAAAGCTGCCAATGCCCCCGGCGAAACCTCCCGCCTCTCGAGCCCAACAAACACTCGTTCCCTCCACCCAGCCACACCAAAACGCCTGCCAAAGAAGACGGGCACCGCAACAGCCATCCAGCAGGAGCGCGATCTGGAATACAAGCACCGCCACACCTTCATCGGCACCGCCTCGCTCGATGATTTCCTAGAAGTCCTCGACGTCTCCCCAGATCATATCACAAACAAGGACGCAATCATAAGAGCCTTTATCCTGCTAGCCTCGAGCGAGCGACTGCTCGCCCGCCAAGCATCACTCAAGCCCGATGGATGGAGCGTCATTGCCCGCACCTCTGCCGAAACCGTAAACAGCGACTACGTCGAACAAGCACACGCCAAGCTCGGCTCCATTGTCCTCCGCCAATTCCTCGACCTCATCACCTTCAACGAAGACGAAGAAGCAAACGCCATGAGCGTCGTCGAAGCCTTCACTGCCGCAAGCCACTTGGATACACAAGCCAGCAAGGCTTCAGGGAGTAAGGCCAAAGCCTTTCGTAAATGGATGGTAAAAGCGCTACCCCAATAGGGTCCCTGCTTTTGTTTTTTTTACTTGTTTTCATTTTTTCCGTACACCTCTCTGCCCTTCTCATGATAATGCGACACGATGATGCCGAATGTCTTATGTTATTACTACATAGCCTTCCCCTTCCCTTCTCCCATCCAAATTTCTACCATTTTCTTTCCTCACCCCCCATCCCGCTCAGCCCATTAGATTAGTAAACCCCTTCTCCTAAAACCTCCTCTCCGACCTTAGGATAGTCCCCGCCATTCACACCTTGTTCTCAAGGCGCGGCTGCCGAAAAGAATAGATCCACTTCGAAGCCAAACACTACCCTTCTCAAACACGTCCACACCCGTCTTGTAGTTTCCGATTACAGATACCCCGATAACATTGTTATATTACCACTGAATCTAAATGTATATTTCGCCATTTCTTCGCCGCCTTCAACCTTGATCATGCCTCTAACAGTTTTGTAGTTTCTCGACGCTCCCTTCTGCGCCCTCTCCTCGACAACGTATACGAAACCGTAACGCTGTATTCAGACGCCGCCATTGACGAGTGCCCTATCCTACCCCCACGCTTTACCCCGGACTTTAGCACAAGTCCTTCACCCCAAGCCGAGTTCTTTTGATTAGCCTCAGTGACCCTGCATTCGATTCTAGAAGAGACTTCGCAACAAGCGCCTGGCTCAGTGCTTCTCTGGTTACTCTCCATAGCGTCAACCTCAAGAATGGGAGCTGTGGATGTATCCACTCGTACTTCAAGACTAGCATACAATGTGCATGAGAAATGCAAGTGGCTGGTGCGTCCGATCTTCACTGATTGACAAGCGACGATATGACGCGGCAATTGAGCCTTAAGAAATACTAGCGTCGGCACTACGGAAGTGTTTCCTGTCAAAGAGTCGTCAGTTTCTATCTAGCTTTGCCCAAGCGATTAGATCCCCCTTTCCATGGCCTTGGGGTGTTTCGTTATATAGCAGGATAGTTTTCTTTACTTCTAGAGAAGCAGGACATTTTCTCAGAGGAATCAAATTGATCAATATCTTGTAAAGTCTGTTGCAGCACCCATTCTTGGTTGACGTCATTCTCTCGAGTGCAGGTGATTTTTTTCCGAGCATGACCGTAGTCTACACTAGTTGATGCCAAGTGCTTATGTATGTATCTATGTCCTTGCTCCAGACCCGGACTAACACGTTCGAGAACGCCTCCACCTTCGGATCAAATGCATGAGGTGTCGAGAGTGGACAGCTCGGGGAAACACCCCAACTCCACTTGCTCACTTTTTGCACTAGAAACAGAGCATAGAAAATCATTTCTGTTTCATAGTCTCCTGTAGTATACCTCAAACTGATGCGGACATGCTTTTTCTAGCTTGACGTGTTGCGTGCAGAAATGCCCTTGCCAATCCGGCAATAACATGCAGCCTCAACACCCAGATACGACGCTACTTCAGCAGTACAAACCAAATGGTAACAACCTGCGCCACAAGAGTTATTGGCTCTGCGTCACTCTGTGGCGCTAAAACACACGTTCTGGGCGATCCTCCAACGTCGGGGCCCGCTAACGGAGACCAGGGAACTGACCAGTCGCGTCTTTTGCTTGTTCCCAAGAAGCTTGGAGCCGTCATGGTACCATGGGCTGATAGTTGACGCAGAGCTACCATGCACCTTGTAGCGTCGTCAATGGCAGTATGCAAGGCAAGTTTTGAAGATCCGGAAGAGAGATGCCATGCCATGCCCGCCCCCCTCGTCAAGGCGACTAGTCCGGTTCTTGGTTTTCGTCATTGCGTCCGCACCGAATTGTGTGGTTGGGGACAAGTATAAATATGTCGCGGGTGTGGATAGACTGTGCGTCTGGTTTATCTGCCAACATATATTAACGACCTTTTGCTTCCAAGTCAGACAGAACTAGATATACACCTCTTCTACTGTATCCACAGTTACAACAACATTTACCACACAATGCCATCAAGCACCGTTCGTACCCTCCTCCTGTTCATCACTCATTCTCTCTAGCATCACCACTGACGTTGCGCAAAGAGAAATATCCTCCTCTACTTCCTTGCCATTTGGCTGCCCTTCCTACCCGTCCTCATCGTACGCGGCTGCGGTGCAGACGTCCTGATTAACCTCGCCCTGGACCTGCTCGGATGGATCCCCGGTGTCATTCATGCCTGGTACATCATCAGTCAAAGCGAGAAGCGGGAGTATGTTGGTGTTGATCCCGGATATGGAAGCACATATGGTCGCAGGGAGAAGACGGTGAGATACTAGAGGAAGATGGAGGGCATATGGTGACGTCTGAAGGAGGGGAATGGGCAAGGGTCATGTTTGTGAAGGGATGGTTATGCAAGCAGACGGTATGGATGAGGGTTACCAAGACCCGTGTGAAAGATGCTACCGATCGAGAAAGTGGTTTGTCATAAAGATGAAGGAAATTCGTCGGGCTGCAATACAACATACCGAAAAGAAATAATCACGGCAAGACGAAAATTTAGCAATATCCATCAAGGAAGATCTGGCATGTGCCATATATTTAGGGCAGTTTGGCGAAACGGTTCTTCGATTTTGTGCGCTGCTCGCTCGCTGCTTTTTCTCGTCAAGTAGCAATGAATGCCTCACCTCAAGAACTCTTAACAGCTACTAGTTTTCTCACAGTTGAACGCGTATCAATGTCGAATCCAAGTCATCAGACGCACGCAGCAAAACAGATGAATTCAGGCCGTGAAATAGTTCAATATATGTATAGAGAAACGAAGGGCGGTAAACAGCTTCCTCCAAAGTCGACAACATCTGTTATCCTATATACAAAATCTCGGTCGCGCTGCTGCTCGTCTAGCAGCTCCCGGCACCGTTGGGGGTACCGCTCTTGTACGCACCCGAACTGTCTCCCAAGCACTGGGCTGCAAACATGTTAGTCTCGCGCCCGCTAGAAAGTTTTAGAAGAAGCCAAAAACTTACCAACAGTGACCAACTTGAGGTTGTTGTTCTTGGCCCAGTTGATCAACCAGGGCGTCAATGTGTTGACGGTGGAAGAGTAGGCTAAGCAAAATTGTTAGGACATATTGTTTCTCTTTTTTT